TGTGTAAAGAAATTTGATATGTTGTTTTGACCATGCATAAATTAAAACTTCGACTGGGTTATTTGAAAGAGCTTTATGTATGTTCCAAGATTCTTATATGAAAACTTCCTTTAATGAAGAAAAAGTCAGCTGCTATGCCATTTGGGAGTGAAGCGCTTCTAAGTCACTTGTTTATTAGTTTAAACACTGGTTCAAACATTTCAACATGAAGGAATGCGCAGCGTGTGCAGTCTACCATGAAAAAGTATGTCTTTGTCTACAATGTAACTATAAACAGCTGCAGCTAAATTTTATTACAATTAATGGGTTAAGTCTTGTTTTTTATGGATACGGAATTTCGAAGGGGTAGGGGGGGCCCAAGTAGAAAAATCATGGAAATTCCAGGGGGTGGGGGGAGTACTGTGAAGCCCCCTGGAACGAAAAATCATGGGGGGTGGGGGTCAACCTGGAAAAAAACCCTCCGTGGGGGGTATGGATATTTTCTGGAACCACACATTGTTAATTGGTGGTTTTTTTACAAGAATCATTCTGAATCATGTTACGTTGGACTAGGAAAGCATGGCCTGGGACAGCGAAGGAACAGTGAGTGGAAATCATTTTCCATCCTTTCAAATGAGTGCACATGACATTGCAAAATGTAACTGCAACTCAATTGTGGTTGAAAGTTGTCTATATTTCAGGAAGTAAGTTCCAGTTTCAGTAAATAAAATAAAAATTAAAGAGTTGTTTATTTTCAACTTGATTTGGTTGTGATTCCCACGACCCTTGCATTGAATTTTTTGGGTTCCCTAAATGCTAAGCTTCTCTAAGGTGGAAGGAACAACCCTCTCCTTCCCTCCTCCAAAATTACTGTTGCCTCATTTGATCTATGAGACTTGTGCGCAGGAATCATGAGGGTAGTTGTATGTATCACACACACAACATCTTCAAGACATTGCACACAACTCCCATGATTCCATGGGCTACATAGAGGGAATGAGGCATCAATAATCAAAGGATTATCTCAAGTGCACTCTGCACCTGCAATGTTTTTGAGCTTTACACAAATTTTTTTTTATGACACTCACTTTGCAGTCACTGTTGAGGGTAAATAAGGGTTATCATTTCTTTCATTATGCAGATAATTTTATGCTTTCATTGTGCACATAAATAATAGTAAGGGGGGTTAGCATGACATTTACGGCAAACACCAAAAAATAATTCTGATTTTGCTCACTCTTTACTTAACTTAAGGTAATTCCATCATAATAGAACTCACAATAGATTTTCTTTCAAACTTTACCTGTTGACTGCTCATTTTGAAGAGAACTTAAATTTTGAAATAAAAAGGGGGAGGGGGGGGGGGGTTCCGGTATTCGTTTAGGAATAGGAGGACCTTCAATAAACCCTATAATTCCTTGAATTAAATCTGCTTTCAGAAACGTTTATATTTGAACCCTCCACTTTACACTTTGTGAGAGCAGAAAAAAAGGGAGAAAGTTAAGTGAGAAAAACATCAATGGATGTACTGCATCAATGTTAAGGAGCAATTTGATGTGTGTGATAAAGGTACCCATATTCAGTCGACAGGTGTTCAATATGTTCCAAGCTGAGAGCACATACAGTGTATTACCTTTTCCCAACACTAGCTATGCTCTGATTTTCAGTGATAGTTTTTTACTCTGCAGTAGAAATTGCTCTGTATTCACTTTATAGAAAGAAGATGATCGCTGCATCTGAAGTAAATAAAAAAATTGTTGGGTCCCAGTATTCATTTTGATGATTTGTCTCTTGTAAGCCAAGCCATTTAGCAAGAGCCACCATTTTGTATGTGTTGTGTATATGTACGCACTCATGAGCGTGCACCAATGATACAAAAATCAGGGCTCTTATACGTAGGGTGGTGAAACAAGGGGGTCCAAACAAAAAGGTGTGATGGAGTAGACTGGGGTCTGCTAAAACAAGCAGATTCCGCTTACTTACACTGGAACTTAGATTGCTAAAGAAATTCCACGAAACCCCCTTCTATATGGAGAAGGATTTTGGTGCATTTTTGTTCTGAGGCAACGGGAAAAGGTGTGTTTTTTAGGTTGAAAACAGGACTTCATATTTTGCACTGTAATGCACCTATCAATGGTTTGCCCCAGGATGGGGGGGTCAGGCAACCCAGGGGAATTAGGCTTAGTAAAGTGCTTGTGGGTTGGGATTTTGACATAAAAGTTGAGAGGATCTGGGAATGGGTGGTGAGTGGTGTGCCATCTTGGAAAATACCCAGAGTTTCCCACATCCAAGGATGGTTGAACGAAAGGTAAGGAGTATTGTGTTACTTTTTTTAAGCAAAAATGTTTTTTTTAATGCCCATGATCAGTGCTCTGTCTTTAAAGTTCTATAACATAAGGTATTTTTCCTTCAGCTTTGAGAAGAAATATTTGTACAAAAGCTCATTTAGATCAAAATTTACTTCCTACTTACATGTCTTCACTAGATTCCACCCTGCCATAAGTTTTTGATATTCTCTGTGTTTATAGATATGCTACTTTACTCCAAATGTCAAGTTTGTGCATTAACCCCTCTTGATGATGGCATGTTCTTGAATTGCACATTTTGTATTGCTGTAAATACTATGTGAAACAATTCACGGGTACTTTCAGCAGTACAGAATGTGTGTGAAATTGCTAACCAAAACTGAACCATGCTAAGTATCTAGAATATGCCTTCTTCATTTGGGGAAATGCACAAACTCAGAGGGGACCATTTGCCAGCAAGCACTATTACTCTCTGGAGAAGTTGTAAGTGCCTATCATTTCATTGAATGTACTATGCAAGGTTTGTGGTCCCCAGGGGTGGGAATTTGACTTATAATGGAGACCCAAGGGTGGGGAAATTGACATTTGAAAACCTGAAAATGTCAAATTTCCCCTGGGTTGCCAAACCCCTCCATCCTGGGACCTATCATTGATAGTTGCAAAAGATCTGCTTACGCTAGCTAGTTGTATGTGTAATCTTTTGCATTTCTTCTGACTTACAAATAAAGGTTATGCAAGTCTCTACTCTGGTATCGCCGCTTAATTTGTGCGTTTCTCAGAACAATGCTTAATCATAACCAAAATCTGTTTTCGATCAGTTTGTTATTGTTTCTGCTTGTTTGGTGAGCACTGAGGAAAGTCTGACTTGTACAAGTAGCTAATTTGCATGATGCAGCATGTGTACTTTCAAGTCTGAGTCGGTGTTTTTAATTTGTCATTATAAAATCTTGACAAAGTATTTTTTTTCCATCTTGTCTGCTGAGATGATGCGACAATTTTCACCAATGCTAAAAGGCTACTAAGATGGTGTGTTTCTTTGACATAGTGAAATTTTATACTGCGAAAATGAAATAGCCAAGGAGTTTTGAGAACTGCATGACAAACAACAAAGTGAAATATTCGGATTGATTAAAGAAAGTGCTACCACTTTGCTGATTTAATATCTCTGCTGTCTTCCCATATTTCCGGCTAAACATCTAAGATATTCTCAAATATTTATCAATTGAAATCAGTCTTAAACATATTTAATTTTAAAGCTAGAAATATAATTTGAGTTCAATGTACGTTTTTACACGAAAGAGTGTAATTGAAGTTCAATTTGTCATTTTAATTAAGCTACAAAACACGGACCGGTGGGTGCTCTTTTTCATCGACAACCAGCAATTAATTGAATTTTTACACAACCAAAACTGAGCAGTATTTGTAGACGAACGTTTTTATGCCTTGATGAGGCATCACGTGTTGCTTGCCATTGAGATGAAACTCAAACAAGCAAAGTTTTACTACTTTTTGGTTGCGATAGACTCTATGACAAAATCCTTGCAAGCGTGTGGCAAGAGGAGGGAAACTTTGAAGTTCTTAAATGCTGCTATGTCCAAATATATCCAGCTAATTTTTTGCTATATTATGGAAAAACTGTTGATCTTCAACATATGTAAAATTTAGAGTGGAGTTCTTGTAAAAGAAGAAGCGGAGCACAACTTGGTCATGATAAGCGGGACATGCCTGCATTTGACACTGTCTTACTACACTCAAATTTGAGCAGCTTACAACAAAAATACTTAAGTGATATTCCAACAGACAAAATAGTATTTAGTTGTGGGCCAAAAGCACAAAAAAGCCTCTAAAAATACGCCACTGGTGGCTCAAAGATAATGAAAGAAAACTTGATTTCCGGTTTGTTGAGAGGACATTTTTGGCCCCTATTAATCTCACCGGAAGCGCTCGTGCCAGCCCTTCTCCGCATCACACATTGGACCAAGAGCGGACTGCCCGTTTCACTCCCGGCCTTTTTGTGAAAGTTCAAGTTTTGCTGTATGCCATGAATGTCATGCTTGGCTTTCTCTAATGACAAGTAGAAGAACCTCCACAAGTGAAGGACTCCAAGACATGCCTCTGAGCCTTGACTTAGTCAAGTAAACCAAGTCTAATTAAAGGCTTTGTTTGACTAGGTGCCCCTTAAAGAGTTTTAAGTAATTTTCCTTAGAAATTGCTTGGAAATTCAGATTTCTTTCTTTCCAACCAACATAGCCATTGATAAATTATTGAGAAACTACCATCTTTTGGGAATATTGTAATCCCCTGATTGTAATATTATACCTTCAGGTCAAGCCATCTTGGTGTGACTGAAAATCAGAAGCGATGGCTTGTGGCTGGAATAGCACTGAACAAGATCCTCATACCACAGATACGTCCGTTTGTGGAACAAGGCATCAACACTGAATACAACAACCTCAAGACTAGCCACAATATTCATGGACAGAGCACATCTGGACGTCTTCAACGGTGGCCAGCTAGAAAATTGTTAAAATATGAGAACATCAATAGAAATGATGTTCATCCAAGACGTGGTGGAAAACTTGATTATTCTCTTTTTGACTGCCGAGTAATGTCCCATGTTGACTTTGCCAGGCTGTATGTTGAGAACTATATGGCCCACTTCAATGCTTTTGATGACCATTGTGATGCATCAGCTGTGTTGGTGTTGCTTGGTGGGGTCCCTGTATTCTCGGCACCTGTGCAAACTGCTGCAGCTGATGTCAGAATGGGGAGAAATGACTGGGCACACTGTGTCTTCAGTAAATGGGATCAAGTCAAATATCAACAAAGTTTTATTGACATGGAACACCTAGTGAGAGTCATGGCTTTACCAGCTGCAGATGAAGGGAAACTTCTTGGAGAACTTAAAGACTGGGAAGCTAAAGGTACTGTATGTACATTACATATCATAATGTTATGGTAGCAGTAAACAAGAAAAGTCTATCAAGCTGCTATGATGCATATTGTTCTTTGGATCAGTTTAGTAAAGGTGCAAACAAGTTATACACCCCCCTCCCCCCTCCCCAAAATAAAATAAAAAAATAAAAAATACCTGTTATCAACATATTGGAAGAAATGTGAAATAAATATTAATCTTATCATTGATCAGCTCATTATTTGTTGTGTTGGCAGGGACACATCTCTGCATGAATTCCCCCATAGACCCAGCGTTGTTACAACTGGTTCAACAAGGACTTCAGTCACTACAAGATGAGGTGAGGAACATGTCTGTAGAACTTGAGGATGAGAAAAGAAACGTCCAGCATGAACTGAAAAATGTTGCATCAGCTCTGGAAGAGGTGGAACAGAGGGTGCAAATGCTGGAAACTGGTCAGCAAACCTTAGAGCATCGCACTGGACTACTTGAAGACAGAATGGACAATTTTGAAGGTGACATAAATCTTAAGTAATGAATTGTTATACAGTCAAACCTCTCCACAATGGCCACCTTGGGGACAGAAGAAAGTGGCTGCTGTAGAGAGGTAGCCATTATGAGGACGTAGGGGTTTAATGTTACATCTGTTTTTTCAGGGTTTTCTTAATTTTGTTTTTTTAAAAAATGCTTACTTTAAGCATATAAATATGAAACAAAATAAAAATATATCAGTAAAACAGAAACCAGACAGAAACAGAGACCAACAATGCGTGGTACGGATCAAGTATCATGACCTTTTGCAATTAAAACTAAGGTTATGTGTATACCATTGGTAAATCCTTGATTAACTAGTCGTTGTTGAGTGGTTATTCTCTGGCAGTTAGGACGTGCTTCAGTGGCCATTGCCATTGTGGAGAAGTTAAAATAAGAGTGACTGTGTGGATCATCTGCTGTAACAGAAAAAAGTGGCCACTGTAGAGAGGTGGCTGTTAGTGGAGGTTACACTATATGTATATGGAATAATAAATAAATGTTGGAGAAAGTGATGACTAGAGCAAAGAACTCATGGTAAATTGATACAATGTAATTAACTGACAACTGATCAAAATGCTGCATGCAGAGCCCTGATGTATAAATCATAGTTATTAGCACAAACACTCTAATTATATTAATTATAATTTGCCAAACTAAACCTCCTGCAAAAACAACACACATCTGAAGTAAACAACTGGTTTACTGTGTCAACAAACCTCTCTGCCACCCTCATTACAAGAGTTTGAAAACACAAATACCCAGGACGTGAGGGTGAGTGGGAAGAGACAAAATAGTCCAGCACTAAACCAAATGTGTGAAACTGACTCGAAATGGAGCACAAAACTGCTTAATCTGATACAAGGGGTGTATGTTGTACAATTAATTCCTTTGAGGATGTACTAGCCCAAAGGGGGTAAATGAACTCTTACATATTATGTGTTAATGTAACTGTAGACCTTTAGGGGCCGATTTTGTTCGAAATAGTCTTTTCCCACCAAATTAAAGACTTCTACTTTATCTGAATTTTCCCAAAAAAATTATGTTGAAAACTTAAAATGCGAACGAGTTATCCACAAAAACGTGATTTTTAAAACAAGTCAACAATTGGCAAACAGTGATAAGCCAATTAAAATGTGTACACCCTTGAGTTGAGCAGTAACACACAATCTCTTCTGTGAACTCCTTTGTGTCATACAATTTCTCACACAGAAATATTTGCTTTTGTTGATTGATTTTGTCTCTTAAGTGATAGACTAAGTAGTTTTGCACGGTCTTCACGTTCCCAAATTTAAATGCAAATCGCAAGTGAGTGGTTCGATCATCGCTGCCCTCTTTTGGCAAACAAGTCAATTGCTGTGGAATTACCAGCAAATTTAATTGCTGATATCTAACATGGCAGCCTCTCCAGACGCTCCTTTCGTCTACTTTGAAGAGTGTTTTTCTATATTGTAGGGAAACAAACAAGCCAATAAATTACACATTTAGTTTTATATGAATATCCGCACTCAAGTAGGCCTGTTCAAATGCCATTATGCTATGGCTTCTCTTTTTCCCCTTTCCTTCTTTTCCATTATCTGCTGATTTGGTTTATAAGCTGCTGAGTGTTTCACGGCAGACTTCGCATTTCCCAATGTAAAATTTTACATACATAATCATTGCACTATTCCTGGGAAACATTCCTGTAGCTTTCTTTATCAAGAGACTCGCTGGGAAGTTCTATGTTGCATTTCATTGGTTGGTGGAATGGCCACATTGACAACCGCTTCTGTGAGGTTTGAAAACTGTGAATTTCTTTGGAGGCCAAAAGCTCGAGGTTTCTTTTTGCATGAATTAATACCTCTATTCAAATGAATAACGAAGCGGGCGAAGTCCAAAAAAAAAAAAAAAATGCAAATTATTGGAACCTGGCATGAGTCAGACAACATAAGTGAGTTATGAGAGAAATAGGAGAAAAATGAACTCCAAGTTTTCGTTTTAAAAATTGTTTTAGGAACACTTGCTTACGCACTTGAAAAAGCTTCAAATCTTCCACCATTCCATTTTGTTTGTTTAAGATATAGCGTCACTCGTGCGCTTCGCTATTAATAGCGGAGCTGGTGCGCGAGCACAGCCCCATACCTTAGAAAATTTGGTAACCCATCAATCTCAAAATTTTAGGTTGTCACGTGACTGTCCGTTTGTACGTAGGTATGTCTGTACGCCAAAACAAAAATAAGAAAGTAGCACCATTACCATAGGTACATCTTTGATATTGGACATCCATGTTATGATTAATTGACAGCTGTCAACCAAGGTATCCGCTGACCAGTATCCTGTGACCACATCACAGGTTCAGGTCAAGAGCTCATTGAGGTCTCGTGTTTTTCGAAGTTAACTGCTGACCAGGTACTAGGTTTTTTATTGGATCGCGGGCTCAAGCCAGGTTATTACTCTGGGGGAGAGGGAGGTAGTACATACAAAGGCAAAATTATCCCCTGATGTGTTGCTGACTTTTCTTCCGACATGTTCCTTGCACAATCGTCTCTTGGAAAGTCCCTGATATATTGCATATGTAATTTCTATAATCTTGGATACGCTCATTAGGTATGGCTTTTTAAAATGTAACTAGAAAAAAAATAAAGAAACCACACGCTGAACAATCACATGCGCACAATTGATCCATTTTTGAGTTTCTGATCTAGGGGAAAAATCCTCTTTTCATTTATGGTTAATTATTGTTATCAGGAGTTCCACTTTTAGGCTTGGCTAAATCTATATATTAGGGTATGTAGATTTATCGGATTTCAATGAAACTTGGTCAAAATGTTGGTCAGATATTAGCACACCAAAGTGTGCAAGGCTTTTACGAAAATCAGAACATTTTTCTGTAACGTCCCATTGAGTAACATCAGTCAGAAAATTTTCTCTGGTCCAACTTTGAAAGGGATTTACTAAGGAACCAATAGAAATATCGAAAAAGCCTTGCATGGTTTGTTAGCCTATCATCTCCTGAGTAATATAGTCCAGTCAGCTTAGATGTCAGTGGCACCACAATGGCTGGTAATTCAGTTTAGCAAGTACTGTCATTTTTGCATTTAAAAGACTTGCGTGTGCCTACCAAAACGAAAATGCCCAAAATATATTGTTATTTTCGGATTCTACAGTTTATTAGCTTTACAATGATATATAGTTTATCGAGGTTTTCTTTAAAGCAGCATGCAAAGAAAGTATTTTCTGGAAGGCACCCCTGAAGGTCTACAGTAACCTGTACAAAATAGTATATATACTTGGCAAAGCTTAGTTGGTTTATTTAGTTTCTATCAGCAATAGTTTTATTGTTTCAAATTAAAAAAAGAGGTGTAATTTTGAACCTGTTTATAAAAAAACTGTTATTTGTTTGATGGGCTGCAAGTGTGCTTTTATATATCATGTTTACATTTTGTAACTTTTATGTGTAATGCAGGGGCAGTAAACCAGAGGATAGAGAGACTTGAGAGCAGTAAGCAGAGCACAGAAGACAAAGTGTATCTTCTTCAAGGTGATTAAAGTAATTAAATGAGGTTACAAGAATTAAAAAAAAAACAAATACCCAGGATGTGTGGGTGGGTGGGAAGAGACAAAATAGTCCAGCACTAAACCAAATGTGTGAAACTGACTCAAACTGAAACACAAAACTGCTTAATCTGATACATGGAGTGTATGTTGTACAATTAATTCCTTTGAGGTTGAACTAGCCCAAAGGGGGTAAATGAACTCTTGCATGTCATTTGTTAATTTTACACGCCTTGTTAAAGGGAAAACATCAGATAAAAGATTATATACTTGGCAAAGCTTGTTTTGTTTATTTAGTTTCTTTCAGCAATAGTTGTATTGTTTCAAATAAAAAATAAGTGTAATTTTGAACCTGTTTTTAAAAAAACTGTTACAGTCAAAGCTCTCTTTGTGACCACTCTCGTAAGCAACCAGCTCTAGTTACAACCACCTTTGTGAGACCCTGTTTGAATTGTGACTTGAACTTTGCGATGAAAAGCTCCCGTTAGTGACCACTCCCATAAGCGACCGCAACCACTTTTGGGATTACCCAACTGGACTTTTCCTTTGTTTTTAAGCTCTTGTAAGCGACCACTCAGAGTCTTTTACAAATATATAATCAACGCACTCTGTGCTAATGGTTATTTTAGTCTAAAAAAGTGAATGTAAAGTTTAGCCGTGTCTATATCAGATATAAAAACACTCATTAAACATTAATTTCTTTTGCTTTTTCTTTATTCATATTGTCTTACCATGCGGCCGCTAAGGCTTCCGAAAGCTCATTCTTGTAAGCAACCATCTCTAGTTACGACCACTTTTTCAAATTTCTGAGGTGTTTGTTTACGAGAGCTCCGACTGTAGTTGTTTGATAGGCTGCAAGTGTGCTTTTATATATTATGTTGACATTTTGTAACTTTTATGTGTAATGCAGGGGCAGCAAACCAGAGGATAGAGAGACTTGAGAGCAGTAAGCAGAGCACAGAAGACAAAGTACATCGTCTTCAAGGTGATTCAGTAATGTAATTAAATGAGATTTTTTGTTGCAAAATCAATTTAGAATTACAATTTTAAATTTCTTCAGAATGTGAGAGGAATATACATTGATCATGTTTTAACCGCTCCCACTCACACTGACCATACCCTAACCTACCAAGCAATGGATTAGGGTCTAGGTTCTGTTCTCTTTGGTACATTTCTTAGTCTGATCTAATAGATGCCAGTTCACAAATTTTGCCACCACTGTGTGTAGTATTGTTGTGCAACCACAGAACATTGGCATCTCACTCAGAGCCATATTTGGCAAACATTCATTGAATTACTCAAAGAGTATACTATTAATATCCAATTAAAAAATAGCAAAGACAATTAAAAGTGCTCTGAAAAATGTCACGTCAGTGTGACACGATGAGGACAGTTTATGTTACTTAGGAACTAAATTTTAAACAAAAACTGAACTGCCAGCGCAATCCATTCTTGATTGATTGATTTCATTATTCTTGGTGAAGGGATTTTACCACCAACTGGCTTATTATTCCCTCGACTGTGTTAGGGGTGAACACGGAATCTTGCAATCCACACGAAAAACATGGACATCTGTGTTGTGTTCAAATTCAATTCAGATTACTTGGTTGGTAATAGCTAGGTCCATGAAATGTATTCACCTAATATTTATTTGTGTAAGAATAATTATGTTTTTTTTTCTGGCTACCCACTTATAGAACAAGTGGAAGACTTGACAAAATGCAATGAAACTGCGTTGCGTCAAGACAATTCCATGCCAACTGGTAAGTTTGTCACAATTCTACTCTACAAGTGTTTTATTCTAACAATGTACACGGAAGATTTTGTAAGTTCAGTAAGATTTGCAGTGACATATGTATTTCCAGTAATTTTCCTATTACGTTGCAGCAAAATAAGTGTGTAATATTTCTTTGGTATGTGTCAAGTTCTGCTTTTCTTTGGATTTTTCAGTTAAGACTTTCCATTTCTGTGGGTGTCTGCATACATTTTATAGAGCATAGCACTGAATTAAACAATGAATTCAGTTGTATGGCATTAGGTCTCGGTTTGTAGTACATGCCCTTTAAGGTGACGGTAACCAAGCTTCATTTATTCGTTCGTTCGTTCTTCCGTCCATTGACAGTCCCCTTAAAGTCATTGACATTACCCTTAATTAAAGTTACAATATCGAGCGCAACTGGCTCACCTTAGATGCAGTTTTTCTATTTGTTCTGTAACGTTGCATCGTAAAGAGTGGAGGAGTTAGCTAACGGACTAACTAGCGGACCTGTTTATCTTTGCGAGACCGAAGTAATTTATATGTACTCTTTGTGTTTATTTTATTTATTGTGAGAACTGCTAGACTTGTGTTTTTATTACGCGGTTATTTGTTTTTCTAGCGTGTCCAGAGAAACTTGTAGAGCTTATCAAACGAGACTACAAAGGTGCTGTTCTTTGTCCGTTTCCATGGTGCGAGGATGAGCTTCAACTGGAACTGTCGAACATCTTCACAAGATTAGTGATAATCAGTAAGAAAAAAGAACGCGCGAGGCAAACGGACAACATCGTAAATATGACGGATGTCTTCGCACCACATAAAGAATGTGACAAACCGAGAGTGGTGCTGATTGAAGGGCAGCCTGGAATGGGTAAAACCACTTACTGTCAGAAGCTTGCATATGATTGGTCCGTGGCGGGAATTCCACCTG